AAATATTAGAAAACATTTAACAATTTCAGAAATTTTATTACATTGTTGTTCTAGGCTTGCAGATATGTTGTCATTTGGTTGTGATGAATAACTCTTTAAAAATTAATCAGGCATACAGTAATTATGTAAAAAAATTGTTGAAGTTCCATGCTTAGCACAAAATGAATACAATGTATATTCTGTAGGAACTCAAATGATATTTCTTGAATAATCAAGTGAGGGATTGTTCAAGTTGTAGTATGCTGTAGTTGCAAAGGGATGATTTAAAGCTACGAGGCCAATTGAACAAATATGCTTTAATTCAATTTACGTTTTGACAGATTGCTGCTGTAAGGTGACTTCAGCACCTATCCCTACTTGTCACCGATTTCATATTTCAAATTTCCTAGTTTTACTTTTCAAAATCAACTTTTTTGTTTAAGTGAGTTTGCAATAACGTTGCTGTTTAATAGGCTTAGGATAACAATCAGGAATTAACCGTTTCCCTCTTAAAAACCTATCTTGTACTAAGTAGATTAACTTAATTTATACAAATTATATGTAGTACCTAATTCAATTAAAATACCTGAGATTTATTGTTTCTCTTGTTGCAAAATGGGAAATTTAATTTCAGATTTAAGTTAATATATTGAAAGCTTGTTGAAACACAAAAATAAATCACTTAAGAAAATATTAGAAAACCACATTTGTGAATAAGTCACTTTTTCAGAATGTTTAACATGTATATAAATCAGACACTTATAAAGTGCCAAGGCACTGTGCAGAAAAGAGAATTATATTAACCATGTAACTTTCCTAATTTTTGTATGTTTAGTAGGTGAAGAATCCAAAGTAGCAGTCTAAAAATCAATGCTCTGTGGCAATATGATATTTTTGGTTAAAATATTCATAGTTTTAATATTTCGATTTCTTATATATTATCAAGTACTAGGCTCATACTTTTCGTAGTTAGAAATAAGAAAACGTAAGTTATTATTAGACTTGTCAGCTGTTCTAAACAAAAGTAATGTCTTTATATTTTATAAATCAAAACCATGATTTATTTCAGAGGTTGTATCTATTGTAGACGTTTAAATGAAAAGTTTGGTGTGGCTACTAACGTAGATACATCCTCCAATCAGCTGTTGTGTTTAGAGTTTTCTTCATATTGACGTACAGGAAACCTCCAATTCAATTGCAGTTACGTATTCTCAATGAACGAATGACAGGAAACGGCGCATATGTTTGCCTATTGTGTTGGGTGTAGTCCAAATTTATTACTAAAAACATTTTAAGTTGATGCTCTAAGCGTGGAGTATGGTGTATGTCAGATTATTATTATGTTGTTGATTTTTTTTTTTTTTATTTCAACAAAATTTTGGTATGTTACCCATAACAGGATATGACATAAAATTTTACATAATATTAATAACATCAAAATCTAAATTATAAGAGGAAAAACAATAAACTCCAAAAAAAATAAAACACATTACACTTAATGTTATTGTGGTTGTTGCTTATTGAGTAAATTGTTTTTTTATGCATCGGTATTTATGTGTAATATGAATTTGTCTTCAAAATATCATGAAATAAAATCATAAAATTATTTATTTTATAAATTTTAAGCAATTTTAAATTAGAGAAAATTGTTATTGTTGAAATAAGTTTAGCATTTAAAAAATGACTTTTGACTCAAGGGAGGCAACTTCTTATCCAAATCCCTTAATCCTGTCTAGTTGTCAATGAGTTGACCCCAATAGGTGTGGAACCTGCCTACACAAACAAGAAGTCAGTTTATTCTTTATAAGGAAATTTTTAAATTCCATAACTGAATATAAAATAAAATGAATAAAAGAAGTGTCAAACAGATTGAAGACCTGAATATAATATGAAGATTATGCTGAAGAAATAATCATCCATATCTCTTAATCATATTTTGCGAAGATTCCCTAAATGATAAAGAAATGGTGCTTTAACTACCATATGTGATGACATTGATGTTTCACGATTCTGACCCAGAATAATGACTATTGGTCTCTTCATTGGTGTTCTTAGGACCAACACCATCCCAGTCTTCATAGGAAGTAGTTTTTTAACCCAGATATATTTTATTGGGTATGCTGTGAATATCATTTTTTTTTAATATGATGTTTACTTAGGCTTGATGTTATCAAAATTAAATAACATGTGCAGTACAACTCAAATTTAAAAATTTGCTAGAACATAAAAAATTTGCCAAATTTTATATTACTACGGTAGTACATAAAACGAAAAATGAATTAAGGATATCAATCTATTTCCACTTATGCTTCAGGGCTGGGATAAAAATCGGGAGGGAGTCTTCGGTTATGTCTGGAAAAATTCCACATTAACCACCGTTCTGAATTTATGTCTCATTATTAGTCATTGATGAAAACTTATATTCAGACATGGAAGTTTGATATGATTTAAAAGTGCTGTAAAGATGAAATTTAAAGCTAATATTCTGTAACTTGATATCGACTTTAAGATACTTTATAAAAATATTTGACATTTTATAATCTACAACTTACGTAAATGGCTTACGCAAATAACACATGGATTACAATAACTAAATGGTTTATAATGGATTAGAAATATATGAAAATAATCTATATAAAAATATGGATGAACTTCAAATATTTAGTCTTTTCTGATTTAAATCCTAATAAAAATCATAAATAAAATAACAAATGGCACATTAAATATAAATGAAACTTAAGAAACTTTATGCATTGTATATCCATGAGTTTCTATTGGAATTTTAATGTTTTTATTAAAAATAAAAATTACAACATGCTTAAAAAACTTCTGCATGTAAGGGTCACGTGACAAGTAGGTGGAGTCGTACTTCCTTGTTGATTGTTTCGATGGACAGTATGAGAGCATGGAGTTATAAAACAAGATCTCCACCACGGTATTTTGCATTGCCCAAGGATAGTACTCAAGATCGTCTGCAACTCAGTTTGAGTTGGTTTTTCATGCAGATAAATTGATACTATATAATTAAACAATACCTGGTGACACTAAACAATGCCATTGGATATATATTTGCTACAGAAGCCAGCGCATAATTCCGGAAACTGCGGTTATGGTTCGTTAAAATTATTCATTAAAAATAATGTTTAATTTACTGTAGATTAGATACTGAAACCTGGCTTGCATTGTTTCTTGAAAATCATCAGTAGGACATACAAAATTTAAAATAATTTTGTTATCTAAAGTAAAGATTGAAACCTTTAATTCTAGGATTTTTAAATAGCTTTGACAAAGGACTTTTGGGGGTGGGGTGGAGGGAGATGGGGTGTAGGGTTGATATTTAATAAAGGAAGAGGGCAAGCTTGATTGATTAAAGGTAATCTATTCCTGAAATCTTTAAGTATATGCACCATGTCATTTTTGTGCAATAGAGAATTTACATTTACATTACTGTAACATGTTTACTACTATTTTTGATGAATTTCAGAATAACTTTTGTTTATAGAAGTTTTATTAACAGTTGAAAACAATAAAACATTCTTATTAAATTCAGTAAGCTCGCCTTGAACAGTTATCTCAAACTTTAACTTCTCAGAACTTGTACAGGAGATTAAATATGGAATATGACTACAATATTATTTATCATTGACATTTCAACATAATTAATTATTATGTTTCACTTTAAATATGAAAATTATTGCTTTCCCTGATTCCAATTAATAATGAATGAACATGATACATTTCCTATAGCTAATACCCAGATACTATGTTCTCCCGATGCAATTAATTATTTATGTATTGAAGAGAAACTATATACATGTTGTGTGGATAACTTTATGCTGGTCATTCTACCTTGGGCCAAGTTGGTCATCCTGAGTCGGACCCCGTATGACTCTGAATACTTTGGGTCATAACACTTAACCATTTGTGCTTAAAATAATATATACTCTATATACATCTTCTTTTTTTTTTTTCAATTCAATAATTCTTTATTTATCCCTCATGGGGCAATTTTAAAACAGGACTGAAATACTCAATAAGTTAAAATCATTTATAAACATCGAACAACAATAATATATATAAAACTAAATAAATAATAAGTGTATAAATATAAATCACCAAAAAACATACAAAAGAGACCAACCAGAATCATAACTATAAAAATATATGTAAAAAGCTATCGTTATATATATTACATTTATCTCATATTAATTATTATTACATATATTGCCTTTATATTCTACACTAAACTATATAAAATAAGGAAATGGAAATAATGATATGCATGTGAACATTTGATGACCTGCTCAGAACATCCAGTAGGTCATGGGTCATCATAGCACCGATATCAAAATTTATATCATGTACTAAAAACAATGTTTGATGCGAACATGGAATATGATAATAATAATAATAATAAATACTTTAATAATCAATTTCCATTTTCAAAAATATATATAGTAGTAGCACTAAGTAAAAAGGAGTCATATTAAAATTAAAATGCACCATCAAAATTTCTAGAATTATTACGGTTTTATGATTGTTTTCAGACTCAGGAACATATTCTGATTTTGTAATCGTTGCCTCTCTTTAAATAGCAACTGAAACAGCAAACATCAATCATGCTGTATAAAACTATCATAATATATTAGTTTCATTGTTCATAATCAGTTTCATTCTATTTCTGCATTTTTATGAGTTACTTTGAAGTAAGTTCAAAATACTGTCTTTTGAAATTTTAACAAAACACTTAAACATTAATGACAGGAAACAGTGCATATGTTGGGTGTAGTCCAAAATAATAATGATAAATTTAATCAGTTTCCAATTTCAAAAATATATAGTACCAACTAAAAAAATTTCCAAAATTATAATACCGTTATATGATTGTCTTCAGATTCAGTATTGTTTTTTTTTTACTGTATCCTGATTTTGTAATCGTCGCCTTTCTTTAAATAGTAATTGAAATGGCAATACAGCCACTGACTTCCTTTAACAATATGTCCCTTGTTCTTCCCTTTTAGATTGCAATTATACTTGTCATTACAAATGTGTGAAGGATGTCAGGCTAGGCTGTAAGAAGACACAAGAATTCAAAGACCAATATGAAGAAGAAACAGACAGTGGGGTGGCAGATTTAGGCCCCACAACAGTAGTTCCATCAAAGGTAATGAAGCCATCTTTAACACCATATTTAAACGAGGGTGGTCTTTTGGAAAGTGAGGATACTTTATTTTAAGGGTTAATTAGTACAGTTATCTATTTAAAGGGTAAATACTGGACCTGTGTGTACCATACCACTTGCATACTTTGAGCATGAGTATTCATTTTTTTCCTAAAAGTTCTCAAATTTGTTGTACTTTTCTCGCCAATTTTGATTCAGGTCAAATATAAGATTTTAGGCCTGTTAGCCTTGACACTTATCAATATTCTTCAAATACTCAAAAAAGGATTAACTCGACTGAAAAATAAGTTCCAATTTGTGTTTAGTATTGTGATTGGTCATACAATTGTCACCTGATCCGTGTCATTGCCCAATAGAGGTAGCTTCCTGTCTCCTGATTTTTGAATGATGCAATTTTCTTCAAGTACATAATTACCTATAAAAATATAACATATAATAAAGGGACTGAACCCTGAGATTTGATTGATTAGGAGAAAACTGAATAATTGATTGGTTGGTTGATTTATTTTTTAATTAGATGCCATGTATCTCTGGATCATGTACGTGTTCATCATATGGTTTTTGTCATAAAAAAATGACTAAACATATGTTGACTGTAAATAATAACTGAATAGTTGTTGTTTTGTTTTCAGATTCCCGTAGGCCCTTGTTCTCAATCGTTGACGAGGTCTCAGTTAAAAGACAGAATTGATCATTACAATTCAAATGCAGATGGAACAGCAATTACTTTGGTAAGGATTCAGATAAAAGTTTAATTGTCCCATAATTTTTTAATCCTTATATATAGCAATCACAAACTTTTTTTGTACTGTATTACAAAGCTACATATACATATAAATCTGTCTCTTATACACATCTAGATATTGACATCATAACTGACAACAAATTACAAAAAAAAAACCAGAAATTACGAATGCATGTCAGACGTAAAGCCGTGCGACATAGCTTCCTCAACTAGACATACAGTAGATATTCAGTATATAACTTTCAATTTATTATTTTGCATAACACTCCTTTTTTTTAAGAATGCTTGTTTAATATATTTTCAGAGAGAGGAAAGGATGTTTAATACATAGTTTGATTAATATTTAATTAAAATATTCACTAAATGAAATATAAACATCCTGATATGTACATTATGTGATTATCTATGATATTGTGTATTCACTGACCATTAATACTGTGTTGTTGATATAACGTGTGTCATTCAAATAATATGTAAGTGTCACTTTATTGTTGACAATCATTAGAGTACAACATCTTTATTAAACAATTTAAAGAAACAGATCCTAGAAGTGATCTATTATAAATGAAGACATTCAATGCCACCTAACAACTAAAGCCGTTCTCTATTGAAGACTCTATATGTGATTTCACAATGTTGTTAAAATATCATTAGTTTGACTCTTAAAAAGCATTACACACTCTGTATAAAAGTCCTTCTGAAATATTCATATTTGTCTTTTGCCCTTGCATGTTCATCTTGTGGTCAATTAATTTTGCAGACACAAAATGTCAGAGGCCTACAGTATGTTGAATCATGAGTGATGCTGGACATGAAATCATATTAAGAAGAAATTAATTTCTTGTGAAATAACTGTTAATGGCTAACAGACCAGTTTTTGAAAGTCTCTATTAAATCTATATCAAATTTCTTAATATCTGTCACTGTTTTGTATCTTTGTTGGAACAGTAGAAACAACGAGGAAAACAGGAAATTTGAATGGCATTGTACTTGCCAAGGGGCTTTGTGAGATTACGTGCTATAATACAACATTAGTGTCTACTGTTGAAATATTTTATATTTTTTACATCAATTTTTTGTGTCAATATTTTCACCAACATAGTAACCCTTCACATTGTGTGTGTGTGTAGTTGTATGCTGTGTAGGTGGAGTTGTATAAATGAACACTTAAATTAAGATTCGGTTTTCATTAGGCAAGACATAAAAATTAGTTAAAATGTAATAGTTGATCTGTCATTTGCAATGAATAACATCAATTAAAATAATGATGTTCAATATTAATAATGATGATGATAATGTTTAATTAAAATGGTAATAATGTTTTAATACAGCTAATAATATTTATTATTAATTAAAAATAATGTTTAAAAGTAAAATTTGCAATGAATAATGTAATTATGATGTTCAATATTAGGTGTACATCGTCTTTAGTAGCTTTGCTTTTTTATTAGAAAAATAATCATCATAAAAATAAAAGATAAGTGCTCATTCGAGAGCCACAGAAAAGTGGTGTTTAATTGGAGGTGGTGTTTAATTTGAGGGCCTTTAATTAGATAGCGGGAGAACTATAGTAATAATGTTTAATAAAATGTTAATGTATAATAATAGCTTTATGATAATGTTTCATTTTAATCTCAGTTAATAGAGCATCACTTGTTGAAACCAATATTCAGTATTTTTCCTTTACATTTCATTAAAATTAAAACAAGTAGAGGTTCATTTCGAATCAGTTTAGGCTCCAATGGGTTGGGGCTTCCTAACGAGGTGTAGTCATTCAAAGAAGTGGATGATGAAGTAGTTTTGTGAATCAACCTGAGACAACGTTTATCCAAAGCGTGCATGTCGAGGAATACAGAAACATGGCGCTGAATTCAAGACCCTTGGGCTCGTGTAACATTCATGTGCATGATTCAGTTTTCGCGTCCACGTGATTAATGCCAGGTTTTGAATGTATGTTAGTGATGAATCGCTTTAAATTAGATTACGTTGCAATGTTCATTTCTGATTAGGTCCAATTTGCTTTCGTTTTTTGCAGGAAAGTGATGGCTGCAGTTTTGTGGGGTCAGTCAGAGTGAGGCTAAATCTTTCCCGACCAATCAGTGTTCCCACAGACTCCCACATGGCACATTGTCACGGTGCACAAGAGCAGTATGACCATTGCGAGGACACAACACGAGCAAGAACATCCTTCTTTCTTCCAAAAAATACTGTAAAGGTAATTAATCTACATTCCTTATAACCAATATCATTCAATATTGACAAAAAGTCGTTTAAAATTGCTGAAGGATGGCCAAATTAAAACAACAACGTGTTTCTCGCTCCTTTCCCCATTTTTATTTGGGCCTGTCCATTTCATATTTTTTAACACAAGAAAAACTATCTTGCATGTAACTAACATATAATATAGAATTTGTTGAATTTCATTATTTTAAGTTTGGTAGTGATTTCATACTGCTTTACCTTAAGTATCTCACTCGTAGACTAACACTACCAATGATTTGTTAAATAATTTTTTAGAATCTAATGATTGATCAATTTTTTACCTGTTTCTAAAGAAAAGATTTTGATGATTAGACATTGTTATTTTTATCAGTAGGTTTTTCACTGGTTCTGTTAACAATGTTATTTTTTAACTTTATAATTTTATGATTTTATTTCATTATTTTTATGGTTTGTTTTCCTTTTCTAGGCTTTGCACATTACTAGTGAAACAACAGCACAAGAAGTAATAATGCTTCTTTTAAACAAGTTCAAAGTCATAGACAACCCACAGAAGTTTGCCCTCTTTGAAAAGAATGATGAAAATGGAAATTGTAAGTAACATATGGCCAACAGATTGCACATGGCATAGTGGGCATTGAAAATTCCTGAAAATATTCCTGTATGATTAATTTTCCAGGCCTGAAATTTAATGGAAAATATCAATTCTACCTCAAAGTAATTGAAAATGTCTTGAAAGACGTTTGAAATGAACATGTAACAATAAAAAGGAGAAATTGCTGAAAATTTAATATTTTAATTGGTTTTATGTCAGGACATTCTGGATACAGTATTGAAAGTCAATGAATTTTATTAAAAGTCATGGAAAAGACATTGATAATGACACAAAGTCATTGAAAAATATTATGAAATACTTTTAAAAATAGATAATAATAATGAAGCAAACATAAAATGGGGAAATTTCTTAATATTTGTGGATTTCTTTTTGTGGTGGAATATCCTGCATAAAATTCACAGTAAGCATAAAAATAGTAAAGCAGCAAAATTAAGAAATTTCTGAATTTTTGATGTGTTGTTTTCGTTTTGGCAAGTACAGGGTATATATACAATGTCAGATCACACTTGGTGAAGGGGGATTAGTAGGCTGCTGAATGAATACAATGTACAATGGGTCTATCTGTATCTAAATATTTTGTTATATGTTTTCTTCAGCTTGCATAAGACGTTTAGGTGACCAAGAATGTCCATTATTTCTTTGCTTGTCTTGGGGTGGTGATAACGGAAGGAAACGATTTTTGCTGCAAGAAAATGAAACAGGACAAATCCTGGTAAGTTAGAAGGAAACACTAGAAAATGTTAATTTTTCATATTTGGTCAAAATTTTGGATTGTAATATTCCATTATCAGTCGTTACTAAGAATTAAATATATGTTTGTAGAAGGTTTTCCCTCTTTTCTTTGGGAGGCTGTTCGCCCTTGTATTATTTTTCATATATATCCAAAAGTTTGATTGAGGTATTCTGTCAGAGCTTACTTGTCTATAAGAAAAGTCAATCAATAAGAGACAAGTGAAAGTTTTTCCCCTTTATTCTTTAGAGGTTTCTCTGTGTTTTTCGGTTAACGAGCACACGTTTGCCCTATGATGTATGGAGACATGAAATTTAACATTTCAAATTGACATTTGTTTTTTTTACATGTCTTATTTGAGGCTTTAAGCAAGTGGTATTATTTTATTCATGAAAAAAAAGGTCTGGTGTGACTAGACAACCAACTTTAGAGTCTAGAATTTTCATCAAAGATTTTTCCCAAGATTTTTACTATCGCAGTGTTCTTGCACCCCAAATATGATGAAAATCAAAGCTTATAAATCAGGATTTACAGAAATATATTATTCAATGAAATTAATGAAAAACAGAAACAGGGAGCCAGTAAAAGTTCCAAATGCAACATGTTGTGCATGTGTTATTATAGGTTTTGGGTCATTTGGGTCTTCCCATCATCTGTATAACATTGGATGCAACTTATGCTAGCGTTAGGTTATTGAGCTGAAAGTGTGAGAATACTTTAAAATGTTGGCAGTACATTAGTTAACGTATGGTGTAAGCTGTGCTAGCCTAATAATGCGTGTCTTAATATAGCCCGAGTCTCATTATGAGGCTCGGAGGGTGCAGTTTTTTTAGTCGTGAGAAAAAAATCCTTTAACTTTGATAGGAATTGAACCCTGGAAGGCAAGCATCTTAACCACTAAGCTAAAGGTCCACCCAAATCTTTCTAGGTGTCAACACTATTGTTTGCTGCCAAGTGAATGTTGTGAAAAATTAAGTGAAATAATGTTGTCTTGGTACGAAAAAGAGCCTTTTTGGGCAGGAGGTCACATTTACATTATTCTTTGCAAACGTGTACCAGGTTTATCAAATTTAATAAAGCAATAATGAAATACATATTCACCATCAAGCAATGACACTTTCCCCAGGTACATATTCTGTAATACTTGCCAGTTAATATATATATTAATTTTCTGTTGTATTTATTAAATTACAAATTAAATAGAATATTCTCTGAACTTAATCATGAGAAAAGATGGAAATGATTGTATTAGCCGCTGGTGATAATAATCTGGCTGTCCGTCAAGCTCAACCTCAGCTCGACTTACTGCTGTGATGCTAAAGTAAATAGGTAACAGGTTACCTGAATCGAGGGCTCATTAAGCATACTAACAGCTTGACATCAAAGATAATGGTTACAAGTTCTGTTTCGGATAGTTTTTATTTAACTGCCGGTGAGGAACATGTCTCAGTAGAGAGCTTTGTGACGTTTAGATTGTGAGAACATTGGAGTACCACTGGCAGTGCTTATCCCACGATCGAATGAATCATTTTTCGTTTGCATGAGTTCATTTGCAAAGGAACATGTGAGCCTGGTCTGTACAAGGTTACTTGGGTTAGCTCAGACCATCATTATCTCAAATATATCAATCAATCAATCAGAGATTTATTTGGCGCACATATCCAAAAAAATTTATCATCCATGATATGGAGATGGTCGCAGTGCCGCTGCCTCAAACATACTTATTGGGTTTACTAGTAAATGTTAATAGTAATAATATAAAAAAATTGCAATGTAGAAAACTTGCTATAAGCTAACAAATCTTAGTTATGAATTATTTGTAGTATAATGAGAAACATCAGGTGTAAGTCTGAATAAGCTGTCATACTCCACCTTCGTTATTTTAACCTAATTATTTTGTCATGTGACTCACCAAAAATCTCCCTCTGTTGATGAGTCACAGTCTACCGTTGGGTCACATGACCATGTGTTTTCATTTCGACGTTCAAATCTTTCCCAAGCGGCAAATTCTAAAAGAAGCGATTTCTAAAACGCCTTAACAAAAGTGCACTTTTCAGAGAAAAAGTATTCATCAGTGTTTATATTTTTCTAAATTTGTGACAAAAAGTGAAAATAACAATTATTGTAGGGGTGTATGCACCTGTTGAATTTGTCTATTATGAATTAAAACTGGATACAAAGTAATTCTCAAAAATTATAGGTCAGATTCGATATAAAGGAAATGTATATATATGCACAATGCATTATAATGTCATTGAAAAGTATAATAGTAGATTTAAATAGTTCTTTGAAAGTTTGTTCTGCTTTTTTATTTTAAAATGTGACTTGTTTTTTAAATCAAGATTACTCAGACCCTATTTATAATTTGCCTATGTTATGTTTGTCGTCAGCAGGTAGGAATGTTTACAAGGATTTATTTATGATTAAGTGACTTGTAGTTCTAATGGATAAAAATGTTTTCCCTAGCTATTAAAGGTTCAACAATCTGCCAGATTTCATAGAATATGTTTGATACAACTTTCTGTGATAAGTATTCTATTTCCTGACCATCAAGAAATGTGAAAAGATATGATTTGTTAAATTAGATAAATTTGAAAGAAGCGTACACTGCCAGACAATGTCTGTTCAGTCTGACAGACAATTGTCTGATAATGTAAAACCCTGTTCAGGTTGCTAATTTTCTTCGACAAAAAACTGTTTTATGCCCATATATAGTCATGATGTGCCTATATATGGTCTGTCTCTTATACACATCTAGATGTGTATAAGAGACAGCATTGGAGTACCACTGGCAGTGCTTATCCCACGATCGAATGAATCATTTTTCGTTTGCATGAGTTCATTTGCAAAGGAACATGTGAGCCTGGTCTGTACAAGGTTACTTGGGTTAGCTCAGACCATCATTATCTCAAATATATCAATCAATCAATCAGAGATTTATTTGGCGCACATATCCAAAAAAATTTATCATCCATGATATGGAGATGGTCGCAGTGCCGCTGCCTCAAACATACTTATTGGGTTTACTAGTAAATGTTAATAGTAATAATATAAAAAAATTGCAATGTAGAAAACTTGCTATAAGCTAACAAATCTTAGTTATGAATTATTTGTAGTATAATGAGAAACATCAGGTGTAAGTCTGAATAAGCTGTCATACTCCACCTTCGTTATTTTAACCTAATTATTTTGTCATGTGACTCACCAAAAATCTCCCTCTGTTGATGAGTCACAGTCTACCGTTGGGTCACATGACCATGTGTTTTCATTTCGACGTTCAAATCTTTCCCAAGCGGCAAATTCTAAAAGAAGCGATTTCTAAAACGCCTTAACAAAAGTGCACTTTTCAGAGAAAAAGTATTCATCAGTGTTTATATTTTTCTAAATTTGTGACAAAAAGTGAAAATAACAATTATTGTAGGGGTGTATGCACCTGTTGAATTTGTCTATTATGAATTAAAACTGGATACAAAGTAATTCTCAAAAATTATAGGTCAGATTCGATATAAAGGAAATGTATATATATGCACAATGCATTATAATGTCATTGAAAAGTATAATAGTAGATTTAAATAGTTCTTTGAAAGTTTGTTCTGCTTTTTTATTTTAAAATGTGACTTGTTTTTTAAATCAAGATTACTCAGACCCTATTTATAATTTGCCTATGTTATGTTTGTCGTCAGCAGGTAGGAATGTTTACAAGGATTTATTTATGATTAAGTGACTTGTAGTTCTAATGGATAAAAATGTTTTCCCTAGCTATTAAAGGTTCAACAATCTGCCAGATTTCATAGAATATGTTTGATACAACTTTCTGTGATAAGTATTCTATTTCCTGACCATCAAGAAATGTGAAAAGATATGATTTGTTAAATTAGATAAATTTGAAAGAAGCGTACACTGCCAGACAATGTCTGTTCAGTCTGACAGACAATTGTCTGATAATGTAAAACCCTGTTCAGGTTGCTAATTTTCTTCGACAAAAAACTGTTTTATGCCCATATATAGTCATGATGTGCCTATATATGGTCTGTCTCTTATACACATCTAGATGTGTATAAGAGACAGCATTGGAGTACCACTGGCAGTGCTTATCCCACGATCGAATGAATCATTTTTCGTTTGCATGAGTTCATTTGCAAAGGAACATGTGAGCCTGGTCTGTACAAGGTTACTTGGGTTAGCTCAGACCATCATTATCTCAAATATATCAATCAATCAATCAGAGATTTATTTGGCGCACATATCCAAAAAAATTTATCATCCATGATATGGAGATGGTCGCAGTGCCGCTGCCTCAAACATACTTATTGGGTTTACTAGTAAATGTTAATAGTAATAATATAAAAAAATTGCAATGTAGAAAACTTGCTATAAGCTAACAAATCTTAGTTATGAATTATTTGTAGTATAATGAGAAACATCAGGTGTAAGTCTGAATAAGCTGTCATACTCCACCTTCGTTATTTTAACCTAATTATTTTGTCATGTGACTCACCAAAAATCTCCCTCTGTTGATGAGTCACAGTCTACCGTTGGGTCACATGACCATGTGTTTTCATTTCGACGTTCAAATCTTTCCCAAGCGGCAAATTCTAAAAGAAGCGATTTCTAAAACGCCTTAACAAAAGTGCACTTTTCAGAGAAAAAGTATTCATCAGTGTTTATATTTTTCTAAATTTGTGACAAAAAGTGAAAATAACAATTATTGTAGGGGTGTATGCACCTGTTGAATTTGTCTATTATGAATTAAAACTGGATACAAAGTAATTCTCAAAAATTATAGGTCAGATTCGATATAAAGGAAATGTATATATATGCACAATGCATTATAATGTCATTGAAAAGTATAATAGTAGATTTAAATAGTTCTTTGAAAGTTTGTTCTGCTTTTTTATTTTAAAATGTGACTTGTTTTTTAAATCAAGATTACTCAGACCCTATTTATAATTTGCCTATGTTATGTTTGTCGTCAGCAGGTAGGAATGTTTACAAGGATTTATTTA